CAAACATATGATACTCAAGCTAAGGATCACATCAATTAAATTATAAATAGTACTGTACTTCAATAAATAAATAGATAAAACATGGGAAAACTATCAAATAGGTCCTTGTACTATATCGAAAAAGTCAATTAAGTTCTTGTACTATTAAATCACCCAATTAAATCGGCTGACTATAAAAAACACTCAATTCCATATTTTAACCTATAAGAGCAACCACAATGCTAGGCTGTCTAGTGCAAATATATTGTGCCAAATCATCAATTGAGACATTATGTATTAAGAGCCCGTTTGGTAATACCTAAATCGATTGTATTGGTTGATTCTGCTGAAATTTATGATGTTCTGGTTGAAGTGGTTGTATTGGCTGATTCTGTTGATTTATGAAAAATTATATATATAATACATTTATTAATAAAATAAAGACAAAAATACATGAAAATAGCTAAAATGATTCTACAGTAACTTCAGCCAATACAACCAGAAAAGTAACTTCAATCTTACCTTTTCTTATTATTACACAATCGAGCGCGCGAAATCAAAATTTATGTGTTTGGTGAAAAAGTTGACTGATAAGTCTGATAAGCCGAAAAACATTTATTAAACGGGCTCTAAAATTGGCTTCCAATGCATGCAGTCTTCTGATGAGTTGGCAAAAAAACTTAAACAGTGTGAAGAGGGCCGTGTATGTAGCACCGTCCCCAAGCATATTTACTTTTAGTAAATAATGTAATAAACCTTGAAGGATGATTTATGAATTTGCGTAATTGTAAATTTTTATTATTTCTTTTACGTGAATAGTAAATTGCATGTGGGGCCCACGCCCGGACCGGGGGGGCCGCCCGATAATTTCCGAACCACATATTATATTCGTCTTGGTCTAGATGACATTTATATGGTGATGGATATTTTATTTGGGCCATAAGAAAGGCATGGAGTTGACCGGTTGGTCAAACGGGGCCCAATTACCGGTATTGGTAATTTAGCGGATAACAGCCCGAAATGAGTTTCAGAGACACCTAAATTAATATTGGGGAACATATATCTATTCTAAAGGCCCATAATTATTGGGAACGCGTGATATATTTTATCCGGCCCGATAAAATAAAATATGACTAAAACAGTCCGAAAAATACAACTTTCGGGGCCGATTATACACCTCGGGGCATAAGGGGATGACCTCCCACATGAGTGGGGGCCACCCCACGATTTTATGTATCACAAATAGTCAGAAGGCAGCTGGGAGGGGCGTACATAGTGGGTAGGAAGTCTCCAAGGGACAATCACACACCCCATGTTTCCTATCCCACCTTTGATAGGAGGTGATTGAGTATGACACTCCCCCACCCTCCCTCTTGCATAATTTCGAACCAACTAAGAGGAGGGAGCTCCAGAAAACTCTCTCAGCTAATCCATAGGGGGGAGGAAGCACCAACAAAGGAAATCCAAGGAAAGAGGGGTTGTTCTTGAGGTAAGAACTCAACAAACAATCTTGTAACTAGTTTTATTGTGTATGATTTTTGAGAAATCATATGGTGGATTAAACCATGAGTTCTACACGTTTAAAAGTGTAGAATATTGTTATAAAGTGGTGTTAATTAACTTAGAAGAGTTGGTGAATCGATAGGAGTCGAAATCGCCGGAAATCGCCACATATAGGGAGCTGTTCGTAGTTGCAGACTACGAAAGCCGCCCGGCTTTCGTGAAAGCCGCCCGGCTTTGGCCCTGAAATCCAGCTTTTCTCTTTCAAACGACTTAGAACGGGGATTTATCGAGGGGCTTATCAAAGGCAACTATTGTAGCACATCACGAGGTGAGGATGTCTGACTATATTGCTTATAATTAGTGAGTTAATTTCATAAGAATGCCTAAAGTAATTAAATGGGATTTTCATGGATTATTAATGATTAATAATGCCTAAATGAAAATAATATGGATACGAGTAAGTGAAGCATGATATACAAATTTAGAATAATTGTGTATGATTATGTGAAATGAATGGAACGACATGTTAATGGAATTACTATGATGACATTGTGATAAAATATACTTTACTTCATGTATGAAATTCATGAATGGATTAAAGTGATATTTTTGATATTGAGATCAAACTATACTTGGGTTGAGAAATCAATGGAAATGAAATGCCAATTGGGAAATAGGAACTTGGTATGTTCTAAGATTATCCAATTAGTATCAAAATACTAGTCGGGGAATTAATATAAATAAATGATGAAACAAATCCTAAGAGGTGGGACTGTGAATAGATATGCCTTAAGTAGTCTCAAGAGATACTTAAGGATGAATGGTATGAACACTAAGGTGTGATAGGGGTAGGCCTAAAGGCCACCTACGAGAATTGATTCTAGGCATAGGACTTGCTTGAGAATTTGATTATGAAAATGATTAGAGTTGGACTCTAGGATGACATGGAGATGTAGTTGGGCCGAGCCCATGCCATGTAATATGATTAGCTTGGAAACGTAGTTGGGGCGAGCCCTTGCCATGTATATGTGACCTCCGTGGAAACGTAGTTGGGCCGAGCCCTTGCCACGAAGTTATGGTTGGTATGGAAACGTAGTTGGGCCGAGCCCTTGCCATACAAATTTTGATATGATATATTGAACTAGAGGATTGTATAGAGATGTAGTTGGGCCGAGCCCATGCTATACAATTGGGGCTCGATGGGACCCCACGGGGTTATCGTGACTTGCGGTCACGGGGGAATGGAAACGATGAATTCTAAATGAATATGGGCCTACGGGCCGACTACTTGACTTTATGTAAAGTAAGTACAATTAAAAGTAAAAGGGGTAACCGAGGGTTATGACCTATAATATAATAGTACCCTAAGTTGAGGGTCTTGAGAATTAAAACGTTGATTTTACTTAGTATAGTTGCTATTGTACTTGTCAAATATTTCCAAGTACTGACCTCCCCTTCACGGGGGAGGCCACCTCACAGTTTCAGGTAGAACTTGAAGGTTGCTACCATCGCCCGTGGCTTCGGGAGGATCAAGGGGAGAAGACGTGGTTCGTGCTTCTTCCGTTCTGTTTTAAAAACAACTACGTTAATGCTCATGGATATTATTTTTGAATAATTACTTTGGGGGGCTTGTATGCCGAGTTATGCCAAGTGTGGCTTGAACAATTGTATTTATGTTTCCGCTGTTTTAAATGAATGATTTACATTATGCTTGTTTATGGATGTACTATGTGTGAATGATATTCATGACGCCTTGTATAGTATGGATGAGTCGGACTGCGGTTGACTATTCGTACTGTACGGTGGGTTGTTGACGTGTCCGGCTAGGCCCGGGGCGTGACCGGGTAAGTGTAGAAAACCCCGTTAACATGCTGACTTGGACAAATTGGATCTGAAAAAAACCTCTACCTCTTCATTACCGTTCCACTCCACTTCCGGGGGAGATGAGATGTGCGACTTGGGCAGGGCGGCTCCTGTTTGGAGATTACCATAGAATTGCCGCCCCTTTGGGAGAAACCACCGGAGGATTGGAAGTGGACATGGGCCAATCATATACAGGAGTGAATTTGGGGACTCACGAATCACTCTGGGTGGGGATCTCATCCTGGAACAGTGCGGTGCAGAGCTCCCCCCTCAGGCAACCAGGCACGACGGCCACTCCGACAAAGCAGAGAACAGAACGAATTCTGAGCAGTCGATGCTCGTAGCCGGAGACCCAGTCACAAAGTTTCTTCTTCAAGTTGTTGCTATTGTGTATTTTGCAATTAGGTTTAATAGAATAATATCAACAAGTCTATAATATTTGCGTTGATTTATTTTTTATTAATTGTATATGCATAATTGTGAAGAAGGCCGTTCTTGTAAATGAAATTTGTACATGCATCCTCCGGCCTGTTTTATTCTCGATAAAGAAGATGGAAGCTAGGGTTTGATTATTGTATAGTTTATTACTACATACTTCCTCCAAAACAAGTTCCACCTTTCCTTTTTGGGCAGATTCAAAATTAAGTTCCACTTTCAAGCATTTCCTTATTTGGCAAATTATCTACATCAAAACAGTGTCAAACAGTGTTCAAAAAGTGCCTAACAGTGTTCAAACAGTGCCAAACAGTGCCCTCCACAGTAAAATCAAATTTATTTTCTTAATACTCCGTATGTGTGAAGTTAAATGTGGAACTTGTTTCAGAAACGGAGGGAGTATTAGTTTAATTAATGTAATATATGATATAATGATGCATTCCACTGGAACAACTAATTCAACAGGAAGACTACATGCACTGGAGGGTTTTTTTTGAAGTCCAATATGTAGCTACTACACTTTATTTTACGTAGATTAGAAATGCTTTTATTTGTTTGACATTTGACACATTTTACCTAGGGATGGACCGGTTCCGGTTCGGGCCCGGCCGGGCCTCGGTTCATGAAGGGGAGGCCCGGAACCGGCCCGGGTAACCCCCGGGTCCGGGCCGGGCCTCGGTTCTAATTTTTTTTTGGCTTTTCCTAGTTAACCCCTAACCCTCCCCCTCACCCCAAACCAACCCTAACCACCTCAAATGGCCCAAAATACCCAGCCCAACCCAAAAACTTGAAAAAATTCAAAAAAAAAAAAAATTGACCCGGCCCGGGCCCGAACCGCCCGGGCCGGTTCACCTTTTGAAGGGCCCGAGCCCGGACCGCCATCCCACCGGGCCGGGTGGCCCGAACCGGCCAACCAACCGGTTCACCGGGCCGGTCCGGGCCCGCACAGTAGCGGGCCGGTCCGGTTCCGGGCCGGTTGGCCCGGCCCGAGTCCACCCCTAATTTTACCCTACACTAGACTATATGCATTTGTGCAAAACATTGTGTGTGAATCGATGTTCACATACAAAAAAAACCTTTCACAAACATAGATGTTTACAAAAGTGTGTATAAGAGTGTGTACAAAAGAATTTTTTGAAATCCAAATCGGGTGTTTTTTAAGAGGACCGAATTGACTTTTTCTATATAGTTCAAGGGAGCTGATAGTTTCCTCTTAAAACATTTAACACGTAAGTACTTAACTTTCACGATTTTACTCTCGAAACGCATAAAACATACCCATTGAGAAATCGTCCAATTACATTTGGGTGCACCAAGATCAATTATGTATTTTTATCTGTGAAAGCTCTTCTCCGATGAAAATTCTAGCCACATACACAAGTACTTAACTATCACAATTTTACTCTCGAATTTTCTTCGTTAAATTTGTATGCACTATTCTGCCGGGTTAGTTCTGTGCTCCTTATTTTGCATTTTTACTTGCAGCTGTACAATTATGAAAGAAAACAGTCGTACTGGTAAAACCGTCTCTATTTTCAAGAGCATATTGACGAACTGTGCATCTCAGGTTTGCCTTGAGCTAACAATCAACTTATGTTGTTCACGCAATTATGCTGAAAGAACGATTTGTGTGTCTGCGGAATGCAGAAATAAAATGTTCTCTGAACATGTGTCTCTGAACATGTGATTCTCTATGTACACATGTATTTGAGGGTTTGTAAGGTTGCAGGTGTTTATGTGTGTGTACTCCACTGTGTTTGGAATAAAGGAGTGGCATAAAAATTAAGTGAAATTACGTGTTAGATGTTGAATTTGAAAACATAAATGATTTTCAATCACATAAATGTGTCCAAAAACTGTATGAGGCAAACATTGTAGGACACACCAAAATGCAATTACCAGTAGTTGTTTCACTGATTTTTTTGTATGTAGCAGAATTATTCAACTGTGACAGAATATCCCTAGATGTCTGAAAAATACAGCAGCATCTTTTCATTTAGAGCTCCTTTGTTGCGACTTGAAATGATTGAAGTGCTTGAACTTGCTGAATAGCTGAAGATGTAGTTGAAATGGCTAATATGGACAAGTTTACCAATTTCATCCTTTTCAGTTAAAAAGTTAACTTCTGCACTACTTTGTTTCATTGTCAGTTGATTCAGCTAGCGTAGGGAGTAGGTACAATAGTTAGTGTTTGGTGGAAAATATTGTTTCTAAAATCTCAGTATCATTATCTAAAATTCAAGCCTACCAAATGGGCTCTTAGTCTTAGTTGTATTTCATCTTTTCCTAGGCAAAGGAATATGGCAATTGTGTCGCAGCAAAGGTTCCAGAAGTTGAACGTGACATGTGCTTGAAAGAATTCCTTGAATTAAGGAGCTGCATGCAGAATGTGGTATGATTCCCCATGAAATAATAAAGAGAAAGAGCATGTGTCATGTATGCACATTGATGCACACACTTCAAACACACACCTAGATCTCACAATTCCTAAAGGAACTTGTACTTGCATCTTTTCTGTTAATGTACAGCTAAGAAGAAGGGCTTAGGTCGCAAACATTATATCAAAGCTATATAGTTCAGTTGGTTTAGTCAAGTGGAAAAGGTTCGACCTTCATCACTCATTGCTATAGACTTGTAGTTAAAAAGTTTTGATTGCATAGTAATTCGATATGTATTCTCATGTCATTGTGGTTCCTAGCAGCTTAGTTTTCTGAGTGCCATACTTCTAGGTTTAGCCAAAGTTCCCACAAATTTGTAGAGGACCGAAGCAGAAAATATGTCTGCCAAAACATCATGTTCTCATCCTCCTAGTTTTGGTGGTTCTGGTGCCCTCTCACATGTGCATATTAACTATCCTCCTCTAAGATGCCAAGTACCTGGTACAACGAAGTTATTCTATGATGATGGGTCCAAACAATTAATTGCTCCTACATCTGGCCGGGTAATATGATTGGATTCCTATGATGGATTTTAATTTGCATAATATGTACTACCTCCGTCCCAGAAAATTCTTCCCACTTTTACTTGGCACGGAGATTAAGAAAGTGGAATAAAGCGGAAATGTGTGGTTGTAGTTGTGTAAGAAAAAGGTGAAATGAATGTGAACCACACAAATTGTCCAAAAATGGTAAGTGGGAAGAATTTTTTGGGACGGCCCAAAAAGGAAAGTGGGAAGAATTTTATGGGACGGAGGGAGTATATGTTTATTGCTATTTGAAAAACATTGCACATGGTCTCTATTTGAGTTTTTGATACTATCTCTCTCTTCATTGTACTGAATGTCAATCTTCACATGTTTTAGGTCTTCTCATGGAAAGTAACTCCATTTAGTCCTCATATTTCCCCCTCCTCTGAAGCAATAGGAGTAGGGCCTGTGCTGTCAATCCGGTATTCTTTAGATTTGAAACTTTTGGCTATCCAAAGATCTGCACATGAGGTTCAGATATTGAACAGAGAAGCTGGGGATATTTTCAGTCAGAAGTGTAGGCCCGAGTCAGAAAGTATATTGGGTATCTTTTGGACAGATGGTCCAACATGTGATATTGTCTTTGTTAAGACTAGGTATGACTTCAAACTTATCTTGGTTTTCCTTATTCCTGATTTGTTAAGAAAAAGCGTGCAAGGTCGAGATTGCTCCAAGGGAATAGAAGATGAGACAGTAGAAATTTTCAATGCTTAGAATTTCGGATCTATGCAAGACATAGATGGAATCTATAAAAATGAAACTTTAGATGAAACTAATTTGCTGCCCAACATTGTCAAGACACCCAAGGATCAATTCTTCCCTAAAGTTTCTATTCCAGTATAGGGAAGACCTTTATGTAGGCCACACAAGAGTTTAAAACCCAAAAGGAAACATAGACAGAAGTTTTAAGTTAATTCAGAAACAGCCCAATTTAACAACTAATACAGAATAATAATAATACTCCAGCTGTCAGCCATAAACTGCCAGCAGGCTGCATTTCTTGCACGGTTGCACCACTAGTTTCCTCGGCCACTTTGCTGGCCGTATGCTGCATTCTTATCACGCGCCTCATCCGGTCCTTGAATGTTTTTATCACGCTGCTGATAGGTGCATCCTAGAAATGCGCCCACACCATAATTATATAACTTTCCATCATTTGCAATAGAGCCAAAGACTCACTTTTTTTTTGGCTTGGGAATATGATGGAGTAAAACAAAATGACTCATTAAACTGTCTGCGTTTCTTTGTTATGAAGCAACAGTCATGCAATATTTGACGTGTTTTTCACTATGGGTCACCGTAGCTATGTACATCCTACCCCTCTTAGCCCACTGTAGGTGGGAGCCTTTGCGGCACTGGGTGCCAAAGGGTTTTTAACTATTGAAGTCCACTTTTAAATGAATGGTTTTCATTTGGGTTTTATGAACCCAACTTGACAATAGTTGCCAAATATCTTATCGAGTCATGTTCCATGGTTTGTGTGATGGTTTTGCAATATCAATCCTGTAATGGAAATAACATTACAGGATGGCAATAACAATTACCTGAACTCATAATCGCCTCATGATGTTTTCCATGCATGAAGACATACCATTGATGTGTTCCATGCACCCATGACGGTTTTAGATTTTTCATCTCAAAATATTCTTGGTTACGGAGGTTTTGACCGAAGGTCATCGTGCAAGAATGCATTTTTAATGTCCAACTTGATGTAAGTGCCAATCATGAGTTGCAGTGAGTGAAATAAGTAACCTGACAGATGTTAATTTAGAAACAGGAGAAAAAGTGGCAGAATAATCAATACCATAGGTTTGAGCATAACCTTTCGCAACTAATCGGGCTTTCAACCGAGCAGCAGAACCATCTGGGTTAACCTTAACAACAAAGACCCACTTACATCCAATAGACTTCTTCCCTGTAAACAAGTCTACCAAATCCCAAGTACCATTAAGATCCAAAGCATTTTGTAATTATGTATTGTACATAAAAGGTGTATGAATAGCCGTCATCCCGCTATCCGCCATACCGCTATAGCGTTTTCATGGTAGGCCGCTATCTGGGATTGATAATACTGAACTTAATACCACCAACTAGTTGGGAATTAGGATTAAGGTACTGATAATGATGGTACAAGTCTTTCTCCGTTTCAAACTGTCACGTTTATGAGTTTTTCCAAGGGTAATTCTGTACCTTGTTGCCCTCATGGATACATAAAAAGGTGCAGTTGATGCAGGTTGATACAGTTTAGAAAGCTGTAAATCTTACTCCTGTGATGAAAAGTCTTTAACCATGATCGGTGATGAACTGGTATATGACTAAGACACACAATGTACTGTATGGCCTATCTATAAAACTCTATTAGTTTATAAGGAACTTAATTGCTCCATTTTCCACCTCCAATATTGTCGATTTGAAGATGTTTTAAATTTCCAAAATAAAATTCATTGCAGTGGACTAGACTTATTCTTATACGATTTTGAATCAAAATCTCTTCATTTGGTTGAGACAAAGAGACTGACTGTGAGCTGGTATGTCTACACACATGAGAGCAGATTAGTACTTCTCGCTTCAGGAATGCAGTGCAAAACTTTCAAGGGATATCAGGTTTTTTTCCCATCTTCTCTGGCATCCTCTTCAATGTTTTGTTTTTTTTATTGCATGGGTGGTGCTTTGTCACCTGTAAAATCAATACCTCAGGATTTGTGAGGATGTGCAGTCATGACTAATTAGGCTAACAATGACAATTAGTAATAACTAATAAGCATTTCCGACCTTTTTTAGGATTCTAGAACCTCAATTTTATTTTTATAGTTGTGATTTTCTTCTTGGTATTCCACATCACATTGTCTTATTGAGGTTGACATCATGCCATTCCAACATAGGATTTAATGGGATGAGTAAAAATGGAGTTAGAACTTAGAGTGTACCTTACTGTTGTCTTCAAACATCTTGAGCTATAAATTATACAGAGTACTACTTCACAGCTGATCTTTTTATTTTGACAAGAACTATTTCAAATCTGCTCATGGAATTCTTGATTCCATTGCATATTGTGTTGCTAATATTAATATTATTCACCTGTAAGGCTGCAAGTGATTTGTAAGTGCTATTGATTACTTCTTCAAGTTTTTATCTTTAATTTGAAGTTGGACTTCTACTTCTTGCAGTTTTCTTCTATGGGAGTAATCCGTTTGCCAAGATTTGATATGGCGATGGCAAAGTCTGAGTCTAATAATGTCCCCATCCTTGCTGCAGAAGACGTGCATGTTATCACTGTGTAAGTGTGAATATCTTCATTGGATTTATACTCTTTTCTTGGGTGAAATAAGACACTGATGGTTAATTTGCTCTCCCAGTTATGGTAGGATTTACTGCCTGCAAGTAGATAGAGTTGCAATGTTGCTGCACATATATAGGTTTTATCGGGATGCTGTGATACCACAGGTGAGTTATTGCTGAACCCTCAAATTCCACTGTTTCAGACATGTAATTTCTTTCCTTACTAGCTGTTGGCTTGTGGTGGTCTAGTTGTGACATTGTGCTCATAGTAAATAAATAAAAGAATTTTAAATTTGTCGGGGTTTCTTTCGCAATAGTGTAGTACAAATTTTAATTGTGCAAAAAATTTGAAGGAATATTTTCTTCTAGTAATGAACTGTTTCTGGGTATTAGAGTAAAATGCTTTAAGAATTTGTCAGTTTATGCGGATCGAAATTCATTCTCAAACTTTAAATTGTCTTTGGTAATTATACTATCAGGGATCTTTCCCCATTTATTCCAACAGAGTTGCTGTGAATGTGGTTGACAATGTATTGCTTGTACATCAAATGGATTCTAAAGTTGTAATCATGTATGATATATTTATTGGTTCGCATGCGCCGATATCTTCACCTCTTCCTCTATTGATGAGATGCATACCAAAAAGTATCGATACATCCTCTCAATCCATGTGCCAAAACACCCAATCCTCAGAAGCAAAAGACTTGAATGATGCTGAAACAATGATGTATGGAGATTCCTGGGCTTTTCTGCTTCCTGATCTTATATGTGACACTAGTAATGGATCATTGTGGAAAGTCTACTTGGATCTAGATGTAAGGTTTCATTGTCTTACTTGCTGTGTTGTGAGTTGTGCCGTTGTGGACTCACTATTTCTTGTATCTCATGGTTCTGATATTTGCAGGCCATTTCTGCCAGCAGCTCTGAGGTACAACTAGTCCTTGAGTTTTTACAGAGAAGGAAATTGGAAGCAAATAAGGTATAGTGGTAAATTGTTTAAATTGGCTCAAGTTATTCTGGTTTTAGTAATGACCTGGCATTTTCTAGTAGCCTGTTCTCCCATCAACTATTTGTCCCTCTGGCCAGTAAGGCTTTACGAGTATAAATGCGGCCTTCTAAATGCCATTTCAATGGGAGTGGCCCATGCAGATGCATGAATATGATATTTACGTATGGAGTAAAATTTCCTTTGGGCAAATTGGTCTTTGCATAGTTGAACTCCACGTTTTAATATTACACTCCAAGGTTTGACTTTAAACTCGTATTTTTAAACATAGACCTCAGAGCAGGACATTCCTATTATAATTTGTATGATAATTTGCCCAACAATTGACATTTCAACCCATGTTTTATTTTATTTGGTCATCTATCCCATAGCGCAGAGTTTCCTAAAGCGAGTCATTTGTATTAGGCATTGCACCTCATGAACGCCTTAATATTTGACTTTGTAGTGCACTTTAGGATACTTGGGGTGCAGTTAGAAAATAAAATATCGGGGTGTGAAGTCAAATATTGGACTTTGCAAAGACCAATTTTCACATTTTCTACACCTATAGAATACTCTCTTGCTCCCCTTACATTACTATCCTTCATTTTCCGTATGCTATTTCAGGCTAAAAACTTGTGTCTATCTATGGCACGCACCATTATTCTTGAACGACGACCTGTTCCAGTTGTTGCCAGGGCAATGGATGTTCTAGTCACCTCTTTCATGACCTCGCCAAAAACTGCTAATCATTACAAGGGAAATAAGACAGAAGAAGGTTCACCTTCCAGTTCTTCTAACACCAATGAAGCCGTTGAGGATAACATGGAAACACCTAAAGTTGGAACGAGTTCCATTCAGCAAAAATATGTTCCAACACTCTTTTCTGGTCCAGGCTCAAAGGATTTTGAATCTTCAACTACCGTGGGGCCTGAAGTGAATTCATCAGAGGTGAGGCCTCAGATTGTTGGAACGCGTAGCACCCCATTAAATGGTAACACCCCTGAGAAACAGGAATTGCAAGCGACTTCAGCCGCAATTTCATTAGATGATATGTATAGTTTTGTATTCTCTCCTGTTGAGGAAGAGATGGATGGAGGTGCTTCGTACTTGGTTGGTATCATCATTGAAGTCCTTCTCAGGTATGAGAAATACGTGAGTTACATCTTAATGTATGTGAGTTACACCACGAAATAAACCCCTGCTACATCTTTCATTTTTATCATTTGAAAAATAGTGTATGCATATGAATTACAATATACTCCCTCCGTCCCGTTGGAATGTTCCCGTTCGGTTTACGATGCTTGACTGACGATAAAGCAATTCGACCCCTGTTCACATTCCGCTTATTTTTAGTAAATAAAATTTACATATTCAGAAACTACATTAAACCCGCTACAAAGCCTGATCAAGAAAAGTTCAATTTGATAAAAATTTGATATATAAAGTAAAAGATTATGAGTGACCTAAGTTGACCAATGAATAGTGAACGGGAACATTCCAACGGGACGGAGGGAGTACTTATTTTATGTGGATTAATAAAATTTTGTATTAAATTGGCAAAGAAAAAAATTAATTCAGTTATAATTGAATTAGTTCAAGATAAAGATAAGTAAAAAATCACAAATAATTAGATATAACTCACACATAATTACATGTAACTCGCGTATAAAAGTATGTAACTCGTGTATAACAAGATGTAACTTACACATAACAAGATGTAACTTACACATAACAAGATGTAACTCACACATAATAAGTTGTAACTGGAGTATAAGATGATGTAACTTCGTATATTATCAAATGTAACTCCAAGCTAGAAGCAAAATAAACAAACTTAATATCTTAAAAACCTCTAAAAACATATAAAAGTGATAAAAAATATATATTATAGAAAAAGTGTAAGAATGTATGAATGTAAAAAATTAAAATTACATAGGCAATATTGGTCTCATTTGAAAGATCATGAAAAATAAAAAATTTTGATATAAATTTTATAAAAATTGGATCAAAAATAAAAAAATTATTAACAATTTTAAGAAAAGGAGAAATAAAAATAACAAAGGGTGCATGGTGCTCACCATGCACCAGTTCCACGGTATAAGCACTGTTATATTACTCATAATAAAGAAATAATGTTCTGGATTAGTCTATATTACTCACAACACTAGTATATTGCTATGTATATAATACTCTAATATTACTTTGTTCTATATTACTCACTGAATTTGGTGTTTTATTTTTGTGACTCATGGCTTTATTTTGGTGAATCATGGTTTTTTATGCATTTGGTTCAATATGATGTTACATACATGGTAATTATAGAATAGTAGTATATGTGATTTTATCTAAGTAATGCGCTTCACCCGAGTCAAGCGAGCCTTGCGCCTCAGGCACTGGAAGGCCCCTAGCGCTTCAAGTGTGCTTTTCGACTTTGACTACTTTGAGCAAAACAAAGACAACCAAAGACCCGTAATGCATCAAAAGAAGGGGCAGTATTATACAACATCTCAAAAGAGGTTTTTTTTGGAGCACAGGTGTAGGTATTAATCAAATATCTAGCTGTCAGAACATATTCACCCCAAAAAGTATCGGGCAAGTGTGCTTGAAAACGCAAATCACACGCAATATTCAAAATATGACGGTGCTTGTGTTCCATGCTGCCATTTTATTGAGGTATTTCCCATCTGGGTTATCTACTTGGTGAATACTCGGCGAGTACTCGCAACTTGGGTGGTGACCTTGTCGATTAGCTACTTGACTCGGTCCGTGTATTATTTCCGAGTTTCTTGCTGAGTACTCGGCGAGTTACTCTAACTTACTCGCTCACTTATAAAATTTGAAAATCTACAAAACAAAATCTAGGTTTAACAGAGTTCCCGACATCAGCTACTGAGGCACGAACAAATACAAGGATTCAACACATAAGAGAGAATGTGAATGCATCACAGTCTGCATACATGATGCTTGATATTGATTTAGATGAATTGGAAGTGGATGAGGAAGAACAAGTGAGGAATCTGACTACTAAAGATCTATTTGGAGAAGTTTTATTTGGGGACATGGGGGGTGAAGAAGAATATTACAACCTTGAACCCAATGAAGATTAATATCAGACCAAATTATTAGACGATTGATTTTCTTGAAAACATAAAATGTTTATGACTTTTGCTACTTCATCATTAGGATTTATATCATTTTATTCATTTCTATGAATTCTAAGACAATTTTAAGACAATTATATTTCTATAATCCTGGGCACCTCTCTTATTAAATTTAATTAATACAGGGCTGAGTAATCACCGAGTAACCCCGAGTAATCGGTCCTACTCGCTACTCAGCCCTTGACCGAGTTGTTACCGAGTAGCGAGTTAATAACCTAGATCCCCACACAAGACTACATGAGATCTCAAATAAAATCTCATTTTCTTACAATAATTCCTCAAACTATAGAACTTAACATCATTGTCACTATGAACTCATTTAATAGAAGTGGAAAAATGACGAGTAACCATAGCAACAAATGATTACTCGCCATTTTGTTCCAAACATCGTCCAAGGAAAATGATATTTTGTTTATTTTCCAAATTTTTACTCCAAATGGTTGGTAATTTTTATATAAAGGTGTGCATATAGTTCACACCTTTATAATTTTTTAGAAAAATGAAAAAAAAAATAGTTCACATGTGAAATTAAAAAAATGGCAAATTATAAAAAGTAGGAAGTTGAGCTCAAAACAGGGCAGCTGACATAGTTGTGTAACAAACCAATACATAAAGTGATACTTAGAAAATGGGTTGGAGCCGCCACGAAAGGAATGCAACCTATGTTATCTAATTGCCGAGTACTCTACTTGGAGTAGGGTCTTGTCGATTATAGCCTAACTCACACTGCTCCATTTTCCAATAACTCGCTGATTACTCGGCAATTTTCAGTACTTGGTGACAAGGTTGGCTCGCTAAGTTACCCGAAATCTAGGTTTGAGGACATGGAGGATGAAGAAGAAAATGACGACCTTGAACTCAATGAAGATTAGTTTTGGATAATACTTGAGAATCAAGTATTACTCCCTCCGTCCCAAAAATACTTCCCAGTTTTACTTGGCCCGCTTATTAAGAAAGTGAGAATAAAATGGAAATGTATGGTTTGGTTGAGTAAGAAAAAGGTAAATGAATGTTAGCTGCACAAAACTTTCCAAAAACGGAATGAGAAGAATTTTTTGGGATATTCCGAAATGGTAAGAGGGAAGAATTTTATGGGAGAGAGGGAGTATCACGTGATTGATTTTCTTGGAAGTTAGAATGTTTATGATAACTGGGATATGTTGCTACTTCATTATTTGGACTATTGCTATTTTATTCATGAATTATAATAAGACTAATATATTACTATAATTTTGGAGCATTTATGTTTTTAAATTAAATTAATGAAGGGTCAAGTAATCATCGAGTAATTCTGACTCCCGAGTAATCAGTCCTACTCGCTACTAGACTCTTGACCGAGTTGCCACTGAGTAGATTGCATGAGTACAATGTTACATCATTCTCCAATAATGATCTCTCTGACTGGTTATGTTGTTACTTTATTCTAGCCCATAAAAGGTAGACTTGGATACCTAGTAAAAGAGGGCATGTAGACTTGGATACCTAGTCTTTTTCTTTACAACAACTAAGTCAGGCTTCTAGAGCTTTAGGGTTCACGTTATTATGTAATAGTGAAGATATAGATACTAACAAGTATGAAAATAATATTCAAGGATACGTGATGCAAGTATCTGCGATATTGTATTTCACATTGGAATTGAAAAGTATCCAAGATTGTTGACGACAGATTGTTTGTATCATTTTTTCTTGTTATTTAAATATCATCAAATGTCAGTTTGTGTCAAACTTTCATGCATGAGTTTATCAATTTGAAGTTTTTATTGGCTCTTAGTTAAAGTGTGCTGTCCCCTACTTATTGTTTTAGTGCCAATTCTGTAAAACTCAAAGTACCCCAAAATATATACTGTTTGATGATACAATTGCTGGCACGAAATGAGCGCTACACAGAAGTTGGATTGTTCATCATGAATAAGGTGATCATACTTGCTGAACTCAAATATATTTGTTTGACAAGTGTTATATTCATCATGTATGAAGTTGCAATGTTTTGTTTTCTGGTTGAAGATCATTGAACCTTCAAAAGCAGTTGCAATGCAATTATTAGAATCAGGTAGGCGGAATTTCAGTACAAGGAAATTGGGTCTAGATATGCTCAGGGAGCTCCATCTACATCATGAATATGTCCTGCAACGTGTGCAAGATGGATACTATCTTGAAGCTTTACGCTATGCACGGAAAAATAAGGTGAAAATTGCAACTTATATTTCCCACTTGAACAGTTGGTTCTTGCATCTTATATTGGTGAAAATTGCATGAGCTTGAAAACCGAGTAAAGCAGCAGCTTTCGAGTTTCAATGTACCTTTTCTCTCAAAAGTAAAAACAAAAGAGCAAGAATAATCTCTACTTTTATTGATTCTACAATAATAATCTCTACTGAAAGTGTTCATAAAAATAATTCATACTAGCAATTGGAATGAATTGCTATCTTCACTTTTGGAATAAATTGGAATGAATTCAAACTTATGCGCATTTAATACTCTCAATCTCTATCTTCACTTTCTATTCACCACTCTCCGTCTCGGTTAACACTTTTATGTTTCAACCTAGAGAGAATCACATATGACGGAAAGGGTAGATATTAAACAAGTTTTAGTTTGAATTTGCCCAAGAAGAAGATTTGGGAAGAGAAAAGTGGGAGAGAGTAAAGGTTGAGAGTTTTAAACGGGTATTAATTTGAATTCACCTCAATTTATTCTTATGAACACCATTGCTATTTTGGATTATTTTTGTGGACACTTCGAGTAGGCATTATTATTGTAGAATCCCTAAAAGTAGGGATTATTCTTATGAATTTCACGTTCTAACTATGTTGGGTCGGTGACAGGAATGTACTGTGTCAATTACTTGTCTTAAATCATTTAACACTACAAGATCATGCAAAAAGCACAAAGGCATATCAGATGACCTCCCAGATGCAACTTTCTAATGAAGCATAAATTCATCAGTGTTTTTCCACTTACATATAAAAAATAAAGAAATTGCTCCAACTAGGAGTAAAACATAGACAATGTGCACACGGGAGTGGTCATATTTGATTCCCAAAATATGAGTGATTTAGTTCTATCAAAAGCATCAAGTTCTATCAAAATATGATCCTAGTTGTGCATTTTGTGTATGTTTTAGTCTCCTATTTAAGGAATTTGCTTTAAAAAAATATCATGAGATTATGACAAGTTGAGGGGGTTAAGCTAAGCCTTTGTTTGGTTAATGTGAATAGTAGAGAGAGAATTTTGGTTGTTTGGTGAGAATGAGAAATGGCAGAGAAATAAAATGGTCGCTCTCACTTTTTTAATTCCTCTCTTATGTATGTAGTTATGTTTAATGAAAGGTACACGAATCTTTTCTTTATTGGTACCCATATCTTTCTCCATTTATCTTCTACCAAACACCATAAATATTTCTCTCCACCTGAACTAAACAAAGGCCAGGTGGTGTGTATATTGTTAGTGAGAGAAAATGTGTTAACAAAATTTCAGGTGAACACGGTGCGACCTTCGTTGTTTTTAGAAGCAGCTCACGCTTCAAATAATTCACAACACCTAGCTGCGGTGCTCAGGTTTTTCTGCGACTTCATTCCCAGTTTCAAGAGCACAGCTGACCACCAAACATACGATCATCTTCTCTCCACTTTTATGACGAGTCGGTCTTTGGCATAAGGCCACCCGTCCTTACTTGGATTCCCTTCTGGCAGTATAATAAAAGGAGTACTACGTATGTATTAAGTTGTATTTGTGCAGTGCTGCATTGCCTAATCCAAAGCGGTGGTCCACTTAAATGGTCCATATTAGTTTGCGGATTAATAATAGTGGATGGATCATAATATGGTCTGCCGTTTCGCATCAAATCATCCTCACTCATAGTAATGTGTAAACTGTGAATTTTCAACCGCCTTTTCTATTTCAAGAACCCACCATTCATTTAGTGATGGTTAACTCTTAACAACCATTTTCTGGTTTATCAGTTAGGCCAGCACCCTCCATATTTGGCATTACCTCCGTCCCCACTAACATTGAGTGACACAGTTATTAAGAAAAATGAGTTTCTATGATTGATATTAAATTGATGAAGTAGTAATAAAGTAAAAATGATTTAGAATCACATAAACTTGCCAAATTTAGTATGAGACCAGTGGCGGCTTTGAGGGCAGTTGGGCCAGGCAACTGCCTTGGGCCTCAACGGCCAAGAGGGCCTCCAAAAAATTCTACACCGATATTAGTATTATGTGTTATTTTTAGACCGCCAATACATCGAGCGATAACTGCAAGCAGAAATCGGCTTCATAGTTCACGTCTGACTATCCTTCCTTCATCAAAGTTGTAGCTAGTGGTGGACTCGGGCCGGGCCAACCGGCCCGGAACCGGACCGGCCCGTTACTGTGCGGGCCCGGACCGGCCCGGTTTGTTGGTTAGGACACGGTTCGGGCCACCCGTCCCGGTCGTGTAGCGGTTCGGGCCCGGGCTTAGAATTTGATGAACCGGCCCGGCCGGGTCGGGCCCGGTCCGGGCCTCAACGGTCACAAAAAAAATTTTTTTTTAAAAAATTTGAAGGCTCTACTAGCCGTTGGGAGACCTCCCAAACGGCTCTATAGCCGTTGGGAGCATAGGAGGGGGGGTCTGGGGGGTTAGGGGGGGTGGGGTGGGGGTGGGGGTGGGGTATACAAAAAAAAACCTATTTATACTCCTATTTTCTATACATTTTTTACACCTCTTCTTCTACAACTCTTTCTACTCTCTAAAATCTAAATTCTCTATTCTCTTAATCTCTCATATTCAATCATCTTCATTCTTCATCTTCTCCAAATTCTTTCTACATATATATAATTTATATAATTATTATATCTACTCATATATTATAATATTAATTATCTACTTATAAATATATACTTATACACATTCATATTATAATTCTTTACGCATTATATATTTATATTATATACTATATATTGTTATACATATATATTATATATTACTTATAATATATTTACACATTATATATTTATATATACTATATATAGTTATACATTATATTATATATTACTTAGAATATAGTTATACATTATATTATATATTACTTATAATATATTTACACATTATATATTTATATATACTATATATAGTTATACATTTGATTTATATATACACTTCTCGTTTATCTATTTAATTACTTAATTGTTTCATTTGTCATATTAATATTAGTTAAAGTAGTTAAAGTTAATTGTTTCATTTGTCATATTAATATTAGTTAAACTACTTAATTGTTACATTTCTCATATTAGTTAATTGCTACATTTTTACATTTCTCATATTAGTTAATTGCTACATTTGTACATTTCTCATATTAGTTAATTAGTTAATTGCTACATTTGTACATTTCTCATATTAGTTAATTAGTTAATTGCTACATTTTTACATTTCTCATATTAGTTAATTAGTTAATTGCTACATTTTTACATTTCTCATATTAGTTAATTAGTTAATTGCTACATTTTTACATTTCTCATATTAGTTAATTAGTTAATTGCTACATTTTTACATTTCTCATATTAGTTAATTAGTTAATTGCTACAATTTTACATTTCTCATATTAGTTAATTGCTACATTTTTACATTTCTCATATTAGTTAATTAGTTAATTGCTATATTTTTACATTTCTCATATTAGTTAATTGCTACATTTGTGCATTTCTCATATTAGTTAATTAGTTAATTGCTACATTTTTACATTTCTCATATTAGTTAATTAGTTAATTGCTACAATTTTACATTTCTCATATTAGTTAATTGCTACATATCTCATTAAAGTAAAAAAAACTAGTTAATTTTTACATTTCTCATATTAGTTAATTGCTACATATCTCATTAAAATAACAAAACTAGTTAATTTTTACATTTCTCATATTAGTTAAGTGCTAATATTTGTTCAATTTTAAATATGGAGCGAGGTAGACATTCTGTAGATGTGGGTAATCTCCAACGCAACCGCAAGAGGGAGATTGCATCGACTCGATCTACTTCACGCAAAGGCAAAGGTAAAGCGCGGGCCGAGTCTTCTTTTCAAAGTCGAGATGATTTTGAAACGGATTACCAACGGCGAGATGGTATGATGATGTCTGACGAGGAACTACAACACCTATTGTCCCAAAATGATCCACGTTTTGCACAAGAACAACAATTCCCGACAACCATCGATGAAGAGGAGCTCGAGGATGACGATGGGGAGGAGGACGCGGGGGGCGACGGGACTCCGGATGATGAGGAAGAGGACGAGGGCCCTTCAACGACTACAACCAAAATTGGTAAGAAATCTAAATCTGCTATTATTGAAAACAATTTTACAAAAAGGAAAGACGAAAAAACCCAAAAATGGTACGCAAATTGCAATCATTGCAAGAAAGAGTTTAGCTTGGGAATTTCTCAAGGATACGGGAGTATCAAAAGGCATCTTCAGTCCACCCACGTTGTGGAGTATGCGAAAATAGACAAAGGAAAGGGGAAGCAAACACAAATATCAAGGGTTGCAAATTCTCAACCCTTTGGTAATTTTTCCTATGATGATAAAAAACATTTGACTGGTATGTCTCATTTAATTGTTGAAGAAAATTTACCCTTTATTTTTTCCGAAAGTCTTGCTTTAAGAGATTATGCTCAAGGTACTTTAAATCCTCAATTTAGAAATTATAGTCGCAAAACGATTAAAAAAGAAGTTATAAGGCAATATAACTTGGAAAAAGAAAAATTACAAATATTTTTCGCAAACTTTGATGGACGTGTTAGTATTTGTAGCGATATATGGGAGGATACTTATCATCATTTATATTATTTGGGTCTAACTGCACATTATATTGATGATGATTGGAATATGCATAAACGTGTTCTTGCTTTTCGTGAATTCAATGATCGTCACACTGCTGATAATATTTATATTCTCATTGAACGTATTTTAATTGAGTATAATTTGATTGATAAGGTGTTTGCTGTAGGTTTTGATAATGCTAGTAATAATACTGCTGCTATACCTAGATTACGTGAATTGTGTGGTGCTTCTACATTGATGGGTAGATTTTTTCATCAACGTTGTGCATGTCATATTCTAAATTTGTGTGTACAAGATGGCTTAGCGGCATTAGGAAATGCTTTGGAGGTAGTCAAGGGGGGAATTAAATTGATTTGGGCTAACACTCCACTAAAAATGCAATGGCGGCAATATTTGAAGGATAGACGTGTGAATTATTGTGCTTTTCCTAAAGATTTGTCTATTCGTTGGAATAGTACTTATAATTTAATTCAAGTACTTGTTAGATATAAAGATCATTTTCCAGCTTTTTTAAGACAAACTTGTAACTATATTATAAACCCGGCTGACATCGACACTTGTGAAAAAATTGTTAATGTTTTGGCATATTTTAATAACGCAACTCTAACTTTTAGTCATGTTTATAAACCTACCGCAAACGAATTTTTTGTTGAAGCTGTTAATCTCGCCGGCGCTTTTTGTGAATTTTCCGACGCCGCTTACGTTAGTTATTTTTGTGATTTCATGAAACAAAAGTTTTTAAAATATTATTCACATATTCCGCATATATATGGTATTGCATTTGTTCTTGATCCTCGTTATAAACTTCCTTACTTGGCAAATTGTATAGATTACTATTATGCTTCTTTTTTTCCAACTCAAGAGTTCGATGATAATCCCATCGACCCTAAACAAGAATTCAACGAGGTTAGTAATTTATTTCATCAATTGTATAATGAATTTCATGCACAATATGGTAATGCACCCCCTCCCATGCAACGAACATCTTCTTCATCTAAAGGAAAATCACTTTTAAAATCCGCTTTTGGTTCTCTTTTGAAAAAAAGTAGAGCAACTCCCGCTACTGAACAAAGCTCAGGTAACGAGCTTTCTTTGTATCTAACATTGAATGTTGATTATGAAGTTGGTGATGACTTTGACGTTCTTAAGTGGTGGAAGGAAAATGAAAGAACATTCCCGATTTTATCAAAGATGGCTAAGCAAGTACTAGCAATGCCGATATCAACCGTTGCCGTGGAACAAGAATTCAGTGCGGCCGGCAACGTCCTAACAGATTTTAGAACGAGGTTGAGCCCGAGCTCTCTTGAGACACTAGTTTGCTTTCACGATTGGTTGAAGGCCCAACGAAGAACTCAAGAAATTACCATCACTCCCTCCCGCCACTTTATGGAGGAAACAACCGAAGGCGGAGAGTCCGATTGATTTTTTATTACAAAATGTATTACATTTTTTAAATTTATCCTAATTCTCAATTGTACTTCTTATTTGAAATAAATATACTTCAATTTGAATATAATATATTGTAATTGTAATAAGATTTATTCTAATTATATAATAATTAAAAAAAAAATTAAATAGGCCCAGCCCGGCCCGCCGGGCGGCCCGGCCCGTGAACCGGGCGGGTGACCCGAACCGAACCGGACCCGGAGTTATCCGGGCCGGTTCCGGGCCTGCCTTCCTAGAACCGAGGCCCGGCCGGGCCCAGGCCCGAACCGGCCCGAGTCCACCACTAGTTGTAGCTAATGAAGTCTTCTATCCAACACAACTTGCAAAACTGGATTTGAATCCTCCAATCAAAATATATGAATAAAATGGTGGAAGGTCGCATTCTGAAATCTCAACAGAGATTATCTGACTTCATCGTCTGTTTTCACCTTGCTTCTCTCATATTCTTGCAATGGTATTTTCATATGATTTGTAGCCCTTGAAGTTGGATTTAATATGAAACTTGAATGGTGTTCTTTAGATGTTCCTCAGAAAATATATGCTTGAACGATTGATAGAACGTCATCCAGACCGCTCTTTTCAAGCCCTATTCGTCTTCTTTTGATCTCGTACCTAATTTTAGAGCCCTTTTGTCTTCAAAACTTTGTCTTTAACACCTCATTGATCTCCAATGCTCCTAATCAACTCTCAAATGCTTCTCAACTCGTCCATATTTCTTCTCAAACGCCGGTGTCGGACTCAAATTTCCTGATTTTGACTCCAAAAATACCAAAACTCGAACCAACG